ACAAATCATGGTATAATGGTACAATTCCGGAAAGTTGGAAAACGGCAATGGTCATTCCTCTACCAAAACCGCAGAAAGATAAAAGTCTATGCAGTTCATACAGGCCTATTTCTCTGACCTCGACTCTATGTAAAACATTTGAGACGATGGTCAATAATAGACTTAGATACCACTGTGAACTAAATGGTCTTATCGATCCCAACCAAAGCGGCTACAGAGAGAAACGGTCAACAATGGATCAAATCGTTCGACTTCAACACGACATGGCCGCCCAACTCGGAAAGAAGAACTACTTCAGTGCAGTATTCCTGGATCTGTCCAAGGCCTTTGACTTAGTCTGGGTTGATGGTTTGCTTTTTAAACTTAATAAACTTGGCATTCGGGGTCGCATGTTCAGGTGGATCCAAGACTTCTTCGCCAGATACAAGTGAACGTCGCCAATTCTCTCAGCGAGAAGCACTCGTTGGAGAATGGCACCCCGCAAGGCTCTGTTATTAGCCCAACCCTCTTCAGCATTATGATCAATGATCTGGCCCTGGATTATGTAAAGCATATAGAGCTCTCGGTTAGCACGGCTCTATATGCAGATGACAGTTCGATATGGACTGGTCACAATGACCTCAATAAAGTTAAATGGCGTATGCAAACTGCTCTGAATCAAGTTGCTAAATGGGCAAACGACTGGGGCTTCATTATTTCGGAAGCTAAAACCGTCGGTTTGTTCTGCAGCAGAAAGAAAGATCACGACAGTATTGATCTTAGACTGAATGGTGTGAAGATTAAGCATGAGAATTCAGTAAGGTTCCTGGGAGTACACTTTGACAGGTGTCTGACTTGGAGTACGCACATTGACTATATCTGTAACCGGTCTACAAAAATCTTAAATGTTATGCGTTATGTTTCAGGTACCACATGGGGAGCAAACAGAGAAACTCTAATGATGATGTACAGGTCACTGGTTCGTTCAGTTATTGATTATGGTTGTATTGCCTATGGTAAAGCAAGTGATACTCAACTGAAGAAACTCGACGTTCTACACATGAAAGCTATACGTATTGCCACCAGGGCAGCTGTAGGTACGAAGAATGAGGCGCTACTTCAGGAGGTGGGAGAGAAACCCCTCTCTCTTCGGAGGGAGGAGCTATCTTTAAATTCTGGGGGAAACTTCAGTATTTGTCCGAAAGCTGTCCGACGTATTCCAGCATCAGAAGATTTACTCGTGTCGGAAATAACCAGAAGAATCGGAGTATTTCTTACGGGCAAGCGGTCACTGATCTATTGAGAGAGCATCAGCTCGATCAAGTAACGATCCTTGAACGACGCCTACTCCGTTTTGGAAGGTTACCAACCCGACAGTCAACACCCAGCTGATCCAGAGTACCAACAAGCACGAGAACCCAGTGGGAGCAAGAGCTCGCGCTCTTGATCTG